AATATTAATTTTAATATTAATTTTAGTATTAATACTAAATAAAGAAATTTAATTAGATACTGATTAAATTAAAGATTAAATTTTATTTTTTAATTATAAATTTATATAAAAAACATATTTATTACATAGGAGAAGACAAAAAAAAAAGAAAAGAGATGGGCTTAACTGCTGACCGTTTGGGACTTAACGGTCAGCAGTGACGGTGTTAGGGGAGGGACGACAACGAACAAAAAATGCCAAGTAGAGGGACGACGTTTTGGCTCTTTGGAGAGTAGAGGGACGACAACGAACATGACCTTAGTAGAGGGACAAGAACGAATAAAATATTAAAGTAGAGGGACGACAGTTGGCTTTAAACCTTTATCTGTGTCTTCTCTTGTTTCTTATCTTCAATAAGTAAAAGCTGGGCAGGGATGAGCATGAGAGAAGAGAGAAGAAAATACTTGGCGCATCTGTTTGGGAATCCAGTATGTACTAAACAAATTGTTAGTTAACTTTGTCTCTCTTTTAAACTTTTTGGAAGGATAATTTAAAGATTTTGGTTGCTGAAATCAAACTAGAGTAACTAGGGCACGATTTTGTAGCTTGGGTGTGTGTTGCCTTACGCTTTTATAGATTCCAGACGAGGTTGCAAAATGTATGGTTAAATGCTCATTTTGGTCGCTCAACTTTATTGGTTTGCACATTTTTGGTCCCTAAGGTATTTTGTGCACATTTTTGATCCCTTAACTCTAAGAAATGCAGAACGTTTGTCCTTGCGTCACGTAGGACTGTTAACTTCGTCCATGTGGCATTTTTTATAGTTTTTTTGATGATATGGTGAAAATAACTTAAAAAGGTGATGATTTAGACATTTTTTTATCACATGTCATAATGCCAACTCATATTAATATTTATATTTTTAATAAAAAATAAAAATTACAAATTGACCTTAATACCCCTATCTTCCTTTCTTGATCCATCTTCTTCCTTTCTTTCTTCCTCTTCTTCCTCTTCCTCCTCAATGTTGCTGAGTTCCCTCAAATCAGATGATCTGGGTTCCCTCAAATAAACTGATCTGGGTTCAAGGGAACTCAGCTTGGGTTCGATGGAACCCATTTGTTGTTTTCGTCAAACCCAGATATGCTGGGTTCCTCACTGGGTTCCATCGAACCCAGCAACAATTTTTTTTTTTTGTTATATATTTGTTGCGAAGAGTTTATGCAAATTGTAGGTTGTGAGGGATTTTTAGGATCCTTTTGTTGAGTTTATGCAAATTACAGGTTGTGAAGGATTCTTGGGATCCTTTTGTTTCGTATTTCCTAATTATTGTCTAAATGATTTTAATGTTCAAAATGGAAAGAACAGAAGCAGTGATCGATGGGCACAGAAGCAAATTTTAGTGGGTTTCCATTTGTTTGACTAGAAAATTGTAAAATTTGGGTGTTTGGCTACTGAAAAAATGTTTTCGATTTGTTATGTTAAGAAAATTTGATGAGGAAATTGTGATTTAATTATAAATTAATTTAATTTGTAATTTAATTATAAATTAATTTAGAATCTCAATTTTGATTAACATAAGTAATTGTGGTTTAATGATGATTAATTAGTGAAATATGTGAAAAATCTTTGGAATCATCCTATGAGAAAATCTGGGTTTGGATTCGAAGAAAATTTTTGTTCTATAAGTTTTTAGATTTTTTTTACTATTGAAAGAGAAACCCAAAAGATATCTTTTTTTATTGGTGGTTTTTGCAGGTAACATAGTATCCATTGGAGCGGTTTTGGCATGGGAAAACGACATGTCATCAAAAAAAAGTTTAGATTAGCACCTTTTTAAATTTTCTTCTCCATGTCATAAAAAAAAAAAAAATGCCACGTGGTAGAGTTAGTGACCCAAATTGATGGAAGGATAAACATTGTGCATTTCTTAAAGTTGAGGGACAAAAAATGTGCACAAAATACTTTAGGGATAAAAAATGTGCACAAAATAAAGTTAAGGAATCAAAATGAGCATTTAACCAAAATGTATTCATAGGTATCGTTGTGAAATGTATAGGTTAAATTCTCAATTTGGTCCCTCTATTTTTTGTAAAGGTCCCTTTTTAGTCCCTCTACTTAGAAAAGTCCTTTTTTGTTCTCAAAAATTTGAAATTCAATTGCTTTTTAGTTTCTTCGTTAAGTTTTGCACACTTAGCATATTAGATGACGAAAATTTCATAGAGGGACCAAAAGGGTGCTCAAAATAGTCTTGATTTGGTTTTTTTACTTTCTTGAAAAATCTCTTTTTAGTCCTCTGCTTGAAAAAAAGTCTTTTTGTAATTCTCTATATTTTTTTAAAATTTGGTTTTTTTACTTTCTTGAAAAATCTCTTTTTAGTCCTCTACTTTAAAAAAAGTCTTTTTGTAATTCTCTATATTTTTTTAAAAAGTTATTTTTTAGTTCATCTATTTTGAGATTTCTCTTAACATAACATGCCACAAAACAAAAACTTAACAGATGGATTAAAAAGGGGTTAGATTTTAAATTGCAAGGATTAAAAAGGGGTTTTTTAAATGGAGTGACTAAAAATGAGCTTTTTGTAAAAGTAGAGAAATTAAATTGGAGTTTTAACCAAATGTATACAAGAGGATTGACGCGGTAATGTATCAAGGGCATAAGTGATAATATCAGGTCTGATAACGGTGGTATTATTGGCTTTAGGAGGTTCCCTCAAGATTTCTTTACTTTCTTTTTTGACAACCATTCATTTTTCTTTATAGGTGTCGGAGCTCGTGGACATGTATCTGTGAAGATCTAGGGACAGCTTTTATCTTTTAGACCTCATTATTTTTACTAATTTTAGGGGTTTTTTTTATTAGAATTTATTGTTTTCGTTTGGGTTGTCAGTGGCCATTATTAATTTTGGTTTTTCTAGTCTTTAATTTGCCGGAGTAGGTTGGGAGCATGCTAGGTATTAATTTTTGAATTTATTATAAACCTTAATATTGGCAATCATTTTGATAGCACCTGGTTAACCGGGCTTAAAATGGTAATGTTGCAGTTTAATTCGACAATTGTTTTGTGCTTGCTGCTTGGGGCGCTAATTATTCAATTCTTAGGCCTAGAAGGGTGATGTACTGGGTTATTGGTAGATAATTAGACTTTAGGGCCCAACAAAATTTAGAGCCAAACTATGGCATGTTATGGAGAACAATTGGAATTAGATTCAGATCAATTGAATTCGGTCCTCTAGGGGGTTTTTGTTCGGGGTCTAAAGCCCAAATTCCCTGTTAAGAATATTTTGGCTTGAGGCTCGCTAACATGAGGGCCCAAATCAATCAAAGTGGGCCCTTGTGAAGATATTGTTAGGACTTGTGGCCCATTCTCGAACATTTGGGCCCAAAAGCAAGCTCACGGGAGACCGACCAGGCCCAATTAAAAAAATTTTGAGCTTCGTATTGGCCAACTTAGAGAATAATTGGGCCCATCTTGACCCATTTTAATTAACTTTGAGGCACAAATTTTGTCCTATTAATGCAGACAATTGGGCCTTGACCCAATTCGGCCCAAAGCAAAGCCACGACTGGGCCGATCAGGCCCAATTAAAAGAATTTTGGGTTACATAGCGGCCCACTTAGAGGAGTAATTTTAATTAACTTTGTGGCCCAAAAATTGGCCCATTAATGCAGACATTTGGGCATGGACCTAATCAGGCCCAAATCATTTTCATTTGCCTCAAGTAGTGCAATGAGTGGACCCAAACAAGCCTACTCTCAGGCCTCATAGGCCCAGTTAGCAGAACTTTTGGGCCAGATTATGACCCATTAAGTACAATATTTGTGTTCTAAACCCAGTTGGGCCCTACTTTACAGGCCCATTTCGCAATCTCAATCAAGCCTATATTTTCGTCTATATCATTGTTTAGGATTGATAGCGACCATCTCTGAGCCCATTATATACTGTTTAAATTCGCTTAAACTTAGTCCAATCCAACAATAATATTTGGGCCTAAAGCCCAATACAACTTAAGTATAATTTCCTTCCCAATTTTTAGGCCGACAAACAATGGCCCCGACGGTTCAGATTAATCCTAGCATGTTTCTAAAAATATACTAACTAATATAACATACTATCAACCACATGCATCTCAGAAAATGGCCCATTGTAATCTGTCTATAGGTCTTTAGAAAATGGCTCACAAGTCACAACCCATCATCGAGGATCCTGTGGGAGCAAGCAATTTAACAAATTCAGAAACAAAGGAGATAAAAGTTCTAAATTATGTGCAATTGAACCTAGAGGCAGACAGTCTAGTACCTAGTACTTAGGATAGTTGTCAATACCAGCAGCATGCTAGCATAGGCAACGGCAAAATATGCAAAAGGCTACTTAGGAAGCTTACTTAGTGCATCCACAGACCCCAGCAGATATTACATAAGAGCTTCACGTAGAAATGTAAAACAGCTTATATGTTCGGCGTAAGGCTAATAAAAGTTAACCCAGGATTATAACATGAACAGATATGCATCAGAAAAATCACAAGCCCTGACAGAAAAATCTATTTATTCAATCAATATCTTAAATTCCTGCATTCAATATGTACTTATGATGAACCAAGATTAAAAGCTAACCTGCTTTAACCTTCAGTAAAACAAACTAGCTGTCCAGCCCTTCCAAGATAATTTGCAAAGCATTTGATGTTTCATGTCTTTCAGCGAATGCAGTGCCAGACCACCTCCCATATTAAAAGACTATCTGCTATTTAGTGAATACTGGAAAAGAAATTGAATACCATGTTAAAACAGAAAATTGAATAGAAATGAAAGAAATAGCATGATTAAAGTGGCTCTAAAGATTCTAAATTACTATGATAAGATGCCACAAGAATTTCACAATTTAACAAAACCAAACACTTAAGAATTAAAAAGTTGAAGAAAAAGATTCTAAACTACTAAGATAAGTTGAAGAAAAAGAGGGATAGTTCTAAAATAGAAGGACAATCATTCCAACATTTAAGAATTAAAAAGTTATGGAAAAACCCTTCAACAAACATGAAAAATGGGCAACAACTCATAACCACATTCCAATTGTTCAATTAAAACTAAAATGCTATTCCATCCCCATTACTTTTCAGGAAACTAATCAGTTAAGCCTTAGCATGATGAACAACTTTATTACAAAGTTATGCAGAAAACTTGCTTGTGCAAAAGTTTCATCATGATATCATGCAGTGATTAAAATGCACTAGGTGCACCTAGACACTTAAGGGGTCTTTTGGGCGAGAGGCAATGCACAAGGGCAAAGCAGAAGCACACAATAACATAAGGCACAAAATTACAGAAAATATCTATATTATATAAAATAAAAAGAATAAAAAGCTAGAAAAAATAGATATTATATCAAAGCTCCAATTAAATTAAAGAAACAGATCAACGTAAACAAGCATAGAGTCTAATATAACACAAGACATCATAAGCAAGCATGAGATCAGAAAAACAACATAAAAAAAAAAATTACAATTAAATTGAACTTTAAAGAACTACTAGTTGATCTATCAAATAACACTGTTTATACTTAAGATCAGAAAGGTTTAAGGTCCATAAGATTAGGAGAAGAGGACAGGGCCTGTTGCCATAGAGAATATGGTCTGAATCTGGTTGTAGGTGTTTTGGCTTCTTCTTCTTCTATTTTTATTTTCTTTCTTTAAATCAGACTTATTCCAGTATGGGCACGTCCACCATAACTTCTTTGTATCCTCTAATCAAAGGTTTAAATATCAAATTCAACAAGAAAATAAACAAAACTTAAAAAAAGAAGAAGAAGACACACAAAAGACCAGCCTTCTGCCCACCAGCAAGGGACAAAAGAGGGGTGCTTAAGGTGCAAGGTGATTGTGCCTTTCCATCTGAGGCCCACCTCTTCGATCACTGATGGCCGCAGAATAGCAGAATGCTTTAGACATAATATGCAATGACTAATATTCTAGAAATAGAAATAAAGTCTGTACAATGAACATAACTCATGGAAAATGAGTTTACTTGCTCATAAATCAAGAAATAATCAGTTTTCTTGAACTAAGGCAAGGCAATAAGGTGAATGCATATAATCAAAGCGATTTCTAATGGCAGCTATAGAATAAGAGAGCAAAATCATATTACTTTTAGTAGTGAATTAAGAGGAGATCTTCATATTCCAGAGGAAAAAAGAAACAAATATAACTTCAAAAAGATCAAATGATGCAAATATCCTCTACTACTCCAAGAAATGTTAAGAGTTTGTCCAGGGCATCTTTCCGCAACTAAGCAGACTAAGCAGTCATCAACTTCTTCAATGATAGTCTTTAACTAAAGTAGTTCCCAAGCATGTGTGAAAGAGACAGAATCTTGACTCTTTGAAAGCATAAAAGAAAAATATAAAGATAAATGAATTACCTCCGTATGAACTCTACCAATGTGCCATAACCTCCAAAACTCCTCATTGTGGTTTGACGTCTGAGGGCATGCCCTCCCTTTAAAGTTCACAAGGGCGGATGCCGCGTATCCAAGGTACGGCGGTACGGCCACTGCCTCGTAGAAACACCGCTTGGCCAGTAGAACAATGACGGCCGCTGTGTAATAGTAGGAAACATAGCGCCACTTCGGTCCTCTATTTGTATCAGATTCGGAACGACGCCGGATCTATCTTCAAGTTCAACGGTAGTCACCATAGAAGAGTCAATCGGAGCCTAAAGCGATAAGCACGTCACGGAGACAGGATCTTTCCTCCAGGCAGCGGTCGCCACCGTAGGAGACCGATCCGACTCGCCAGTGCCGGATCGTCCTCGAGGAACCGTTCGCCGCCATGGAAGCGTCAATCCAAAGAGGGACGAGGCCGGATCGGGCAAAAACGCGTCGTGAAAAAAGAGAGCTATCCAAATTTCTTGGCCCCAAAGTTGGATCGGCGCCGCCGGACCGTCACTAGAGCCTCAACCGGTGCCGTCCAGCACTTCCACCGACGCCGAATGCAGGAACAGCGAAAGGGTGAAAGGAAATGAGAGAGGGATGGAGGGGAAAGAGGAAAGCAGAGAGTGACGACTCGATTATTTTATTTTATTTTTATTTTGTTTGTTTCAACCGGACTCTCTTATAGGTCCAAAGTAAAGCTCAATCTTAATACCCATTACCCACATCCTCTCACAAGTCTCACCAGTGAAGTCGAAGATATGCTATGCTGGTCTGGGTCAGCTCACGGACAACCCAGTACCTGCACTACCATAGCTCTCGTCGGCTTCTGCTTCTTCTTGCAGCTTAATATGCATTTTGGAGCAAGAATATCATAAAAAACCACGAGTTACGTCTACTAATAAATAAATATTACTTTATAAGCTAAATCTTGAATATAAAATTTGATATTAACATTAAAAAAATTAATTTTTTTTAATACAGCCAGCCAATGTGAATGTGCGTTTTTAAAATCATCCAAGAGGTAAATTATAATCATTTTGGGTCAGAATAATGTGTTTCCATCATTATTTTTATTTAATTATCTTTATTACAGAATATACAATCAAATCAAATACAAAATGATATCATATATACCAGCAAAGACAGAACAAAATAAGAAGCCCTTCCACTTTTTCAGTTTACATGAGTTGTGCGTCCGCGCTGTCAGCTAATTCCAGGGAAGTTCAGAATCTTAACACACCTTTCTTTTGAGTGTTGGGCAAAACATGCAGGAACTTGACTATATTAACTTTATCTAGCTACAGCACTGACTCAAGGGTGTACCTTAGAATGGACGAGATCAACTCTTTATCTTTATCAAGGTGTGTTCCGCAGCTTAGCATGTTGAGCATGGACCAGATGTCCATATTGAGGAGGGGTGTTTGCATAATCTTGCATAGGTGCAAGAATCTTGAGAAGCTTAATTTATCTCGGTGTGGCAGAATGTTCTACGATTATCCTTCTATTTATGGTCCTGGATTGGGAAAACTTTATGGGAAGGAAATTTCAGTAGAGATTAAAAGGGATAAGGCCTATCAAAGCATGAGGTGGTTTATAGATTCTTCGGATGAGGGTTATACTCCACAAAGGGGGTAAAATGCTTAGGGAGTATAGGTAAAGAAGCTTTCTCTGCGCATAAGTGCATAACCCCCTTGGAAGCCCTTCAATTGATTGTTTTTGAAACCTTTAGCTCCTCAACATACTTAATATGAAAATGACTTGATGCAATGTTGAGTACTCTCTTGGTCCCAACCTGCACCTTCACAAGCCATCCTTGTCTTTTTGGTTAATGCTGTAGCATAAAAACACCACCCATACCAGCAACGTAAAACACCATCATACTAGCATCTTTTGCATGATGCCTCTTGCAAATCTTCAGCCTCAATAAGATTGAAGGACGTCAAGTTAACCTTCAACTTCACAGCTTCACATACTCTCTTCTGCCTTGACAAATTGGTTGCATCTTTTTGTCAACCATTTTTAAAGATTGAAGGACCTAAAGTTAACCTTCATCACCATAGCATCTTCGCTCCATTTTTCATCACAGGAGTTTGTTGTGTTGGGTTAGAAAAAATGGTATTTTGAAAGAAAAAACTTACTGAAAACTATTGGGTTTAACCAGAGTTTGTGGTGATAAATTTCCCTCAAATCTCTCTCACACAAGCCTTCAAAGATCATGAAAGGCTCTGATACCATGTTGATTATTTTTCTTAAAGAAATAAATAGAGAGAATCTGGAAGAAGACGAAGAGCAAAATATAAACTAAAATGAAGAGTATAACACTTCAATTTGTATTTTCTCATTAACAACCTTTGCTTTATATAGTAAAAAAGTAATCCAAAAACAATTCAAAAAAGGTTTTTATTTTGTTAAGGTAACTTGTCTACATTAAATAAAACAACAATAAAAATACATCTAAAACTAGTTAAAAGACAGCCCTTTTGCTGCATGCTTGCTGTTATTTGCAGCCACTTTGCAGCCCTTCATTTCATTTGGGCAAAAACCATTCTTAAGCTCCTAGACTTGCCCCAAATTAGCATTTAAGCCCTTGAACTAAAAATAATGCAATTAAGCCCTTCAACTTAGATTTGTAGAAAAAGTACCAACACATATATTATTGTGTTGACACTCTAAGTAGTTTTTAGTTTAGAAAACTTGTATTTTTAATTTAATCCTATTTTTTTCGTACTTCCGTTTGCCTCAATTAATTTAGAATCGATTCAAATAAGATTTTATAAGGAAAAAAACTCTTTTAATACCTATCTTTCTATTTATAAGATTCAAACTTGAAACATTATTTAAAAAAAATTAAATTCTTTTTATTTAAATCCAAAGGTCATTAAAAATTCCATCCTACTTTTCTACTAATTTTTTTAAAATAGAACATAATCTAGAGTTTAATTGTAAAATAATTACATATCTCATTTTTATTCATAAAAGTTAAAACACTACATACATTGTTCATAATTTATACATTACAAAATGAGATATGCAATTATTTTACAATTAAACTCTAGATTTTGATCTATTTAAAAAAAAAACTCTAATAGAAAAGTAAGACGAAATTCCGAACAACCTTCGGGTTTAAATAAATAGAATTTAATTTTTTTTAAATAAGATTTTAAATTTGACTCTTATAAATAGAGAGATAGGTACTGGACGAGTTTTTTTCCTTATAAAATCTAACTCAAGTTGATTCCAAATTAATTGGGGCAAGGGATGTGCCAAAAAAATAGGATTAAATTAAAAATACAAGTTTTCTAAATTGAAAATTATTTAGAGTGTCAACATAATAATATAGGTGTCGGCACTTTTGCTACAAATCTGAGTTGAAAGGTTTATTTGCACCAATTGGGGAGTTGAAAGGCTTAATTGCATTATTTTTAATTCAAGAGCTTAAATGCTAATTTGACATAAATCTAAAGGCTTAAGAAGGTTTTTTGCCTTTCATTTGCTGTGATTTTGCGGCATTTCATTTGCATTTGCGTTTGCATTTGCATTTACATTTCCATTTCATTTGGTGTTTATTGCAGCTTCATTTTATCAACATTTGTTGCTTAGCTTATTGCACGTTTTTACTATCATTTAACAGCTTTATTTCCATCATATTTGCAGCTAAATTGCTAACATATTTGTTATCAAATTGTAACTTCATTTGTTATCAATTTTCAGCCTCATTAATTGTTGCCATTTCATGATAGTTTCATTTCATCATTTTTCAGGTTTGAATGCTGTAAGGGCAGCTATACCAGAAAACACGCAAGGCAAAGATCAGAGATCCGAGGTCACCGCACCTCGGCTGCGGGTCTCAGAGCTTACCGCACCTCGGCATCTCGCCGAAAGTGTATGGCAGCCACAATAGGCATGCCCTCATCTGATCATTTGTCCCTACCAGAACACCCTTTCTCAAGGGACCTGTTCCATCAGAATACACCACGCGCATTTAATGCGGTTACTCCGTTAAGGCACGTTACATTCACCTAAAACGTCTACTCCGTCAGGCGCACTATGTCACCATTATTGGATTGACTGAGCCACGTGGGTGCGGACAAGCCACGTGGGTGCGGACAAGCCACGTGGGTACCTTGCCAAGATGGACAAAGCCCACAAGGTAAGGTTCGATAAATAGGCAGAACAAATAAGAAAAACATTGGATTAGAAAAATACTGACTTAAGCATCGGAGTTTCTCCCCGAGGACCAACCTCGGGATTTTGCAGGACCATTTGGAGAAGGATCAACTTGAAGCAGGAACTCAAGGATATTCAGCAACTACATTGGCGCCGTCTATGGGAACACGAACAAAAGCCATCACCAGAAGTTAAGATGGTACACACACGAGCAACCTAGCGCGAGAGTCCCCCCCAAGGCCAAGGAAGAGGGCAGCCCCCAAGTGTCAACCCCGTGTCGCAGAATGCACCGGTTGCAGCCCCCCAACATCAGCAGATGGAGGGGGTTGGGGAACATAATCCACAATATCCCAACGCCGTAGCAAGCGACCCTGTGACCGCTTAACTCAATGCCATGCAACAACAATTCGGGGTCTTCCAGCTAGTACTCGCCCAACTGTTAGCCAGAGATAACCCTGCTGACCCACTTATCCACTTACTAAACCCAACTCCTCCTGTGGCCCCCCAACCAGCTCAACAGCTTGCCAACTCCCCAGTCCATAGTGTCACCCCAACCGCTTCCCAAGCACAATCCCACATGCCACCCAAGCCCCAAAACCCGCCCCAGCCAGTTGCCTCAGATGTCTCAAAGAGGCTAGACAACATAGAAAAGTTGTTAGCCGAAAACAAAAACCCACAACCACAGACCCCACCTATATCAACCTCCATTCCCACTCCTCTCAATACCAAAATTACCTAAGAGCCATATCTACCCGGTTTCAGGATGCTGCAGTTTGAAACGTATGATGGCACCAAAGACCCTGACGACCACCTACATGCATTTTTCTCCGTCATGCAGGCTCAAAACGCCTCAGACACACTCATGTGCAAGATGTTCCCCTCCACATTGCACGGCAATGCCCGGACCTGGTATCACACCTTGCGCCCGAACTCAATTAATGCATATGCCGAGCTGGCCACCTCCTTTGCCACCAAATTCTCGAGCAGAAGGTTGATAAAAAAGACGACACCTGAGCTCATGCGCATAACACAAAGAGAAGGCGAATCCTTGAAGAACTACACGAACAGGTTCAATGACGCCATGCTGGAGGTCAATACCTTCGATGAAGCAGTGGGAGTAACTGCCGTGATACAAGGCCTCAACCATGATCGGTTTCGAGATAACTTGATCAAGAACACCCCAACCACTTTTGATGAAGTCAATCAGAGATCCCTCAAATTCATTAAGGCCGAAGAGTACGTCCTTTCCAAACCCCAGCCCCCCAAAGAAGCTAGAACTCCTGCATGGAGAGAAGAAGGGCAGAGCAGAAAAAAGTTCAAACCCACACAGAACCGAGGCCCAATTCCGGTTCCCAAGCTAGACAGGCCCGGCTCTAGCGCCGCAACATAGGTAACCCTTATGGACCTTCTTCACAGTTCCGAGGTCGCAAATTCTCATGCAAATCAAGAATAAGATGGAGCTGAGGAGACCAGGCCCCTTACGGAGCCCAGCAACAAGCAAAGACCACACCAGATACTATGACTTTCACCAAGATCACGGGCATACCACGGAAGATTGCCACAGTTTGAAGTCCGAGCTTGAAAGCTTGGCTTGGAAAGGGATGTTGAATGAATACATCCAGAACAGAAGTTTGCCAAAGTTTGTCAAAGAACAGGGACAAGCCCAGGGATCCCGAGCAGTAAACAACAGAGATAGGGTAGGCTATCAACAAGCACCGCCACCTCTCCCACCCCCATCCAGAGTCATTCACATGATAACTGGTGGGCCCGAAGGAGGAGGCACAAGCTCCAAACAGCAGAAGCTGTACGTGAGGGAGGTCAAGCACCACAATATAACTTAGAAAAGAAAGATTGACGAGGAGGATTGGAAAAACCAGTCTATGACATTCACTCCGGCTGACTTCGAGGGAGTTTTCACGCCCCATAGTGATCCATTAGTCACCTCGGTCATCATTAACAACTGCGAGGTCCAGCGAGCGCTCATCGACACCGGCAGTGCCCCAGATATAATGTATTACCATTGCTTTGAGAGCCTCGGACTCGACCCTGCCTTCCTGCAAAAGTATGACGGGCTCATCTACGGGTTCAATAACCAGCCGGTACCCATGGAAGGAGTGCTGCGGCTCAACGTGGCGTTCGGCTCCGGACGGACGTATGTAACACCCTCGGTCAGATTCCTGGTAGTGAAAATGGCTTCATCTTTCAATCTCGTCATCGAGAGGCCGACTTTGACCGAGATTCGAGCTATAGTGTCCCAGTCCCACCTCTGCATGAAATCCCTACACCAATGGGGATAGCAACCTTGCGAGGCAACCAAGAGGCGGCCAGACATTGTTATATGACCTCTGTCGCGAGGTCACGAAGAAATAAGGGGGTAGTCCCATCACCAGAGTCACCTCACCCCGAGGCCCCAAATACCCAACAGGTAATAGGTGTAGAGCTGCCATATAACAAACCAGAGGATGAACCAAGAGCCACCTCGGTTGAGGAGGTCGAAGAGGTACAACTCGATGATAATGACCCATCCAAGAGGACTCAGATCGGCACGAAGCTGACTCCCATAGAAAAAGAAGAGCTCGTGGGCTTCCTAAAAGCAAACAAGGATGTGTTTGCATGGACCTCGGCTGACATACCTGGAATCCCAACTTCGGTGGCAGTACACAAACTCAGCACTAATCCTTTGAGGAAGCCAATGGCACAGAAGAGACGGCTTTTCGGGGGGGAAAGACTCACAGCCATTAAGGAGGAAGTGCAGAAACTCTTGCAAGCAGGGTTCATCAGGAGAGTAGATTAATGCGAATGGATTGCCAACCCGGTCATGGTAAAAAAGTCAAACAACAAAATGGCGCATGTGCATCGATTATACCAACCTCAACGACGCCTGCCCCAAAGACTGCCATCCCATGCCTAGCATAGACAAGCTGGTAGAGGCCGCCTCAGGGAATGAGAGGCTAAGCCTCTTGGATGCTTACTCGGGGTATCATCAAGTTCGCATGGCACCCGAGGACGAGGTGAAAACCTCATTTTATGGCGGAGATGAAATATACTACTATGTGATGATGCCATTCGACCTCAAAAATGCGAGAGCAACATACCAGAAAATGGTCACAATCGTGTTTCGGGCTCAAATTGGCAGCAACCTGGAGGTCTATATAGATGACATTGTTGTCAAAAGCTCTCGAGCAGAAGACCACTTGACTGACCTGGCCGAGACGTTCAACAACCTTAGAAGGTGCAGCATGAAGTTGAATCCAGCAAAGTGCACTTTCGGCGTTGAATCAGGCAAGTTTCTGGGTCTCATGGTTTCCAGAAGGGGGATAGAGGTCAACCTTGAGAAGATAAAAGCAATAGAAGAAATGAAACCGTTGAGGTCAACCAAGGACGTGCAACGCTTAGCAGGGAGAATAGCAGCACTGCACAGATTTATTTCCAAATCAGCAGATAAGTGTTTGCCTTTCTTTAAGGTTTTGAGAACCGCAGCTCAGAAGGATGAAACGGGAAAACCCCAGAAGTTCAACTGGATGACGGAGTGTCAGGCGGCTTTTGACGAACTCAAAGCCTACCTCAGCTCGCTGCCTCTGCTGACTAGGGCTCAGGAAGGTGAAATCCTTTATCTTTACCTCGGAATATCTGATACTGCTGTTAGTTCTGTCTTGGTTAGGGAAATGGGAAAACAACAGCAGCCAGTATACTATGCCAGTAAGGTGCTGCAGGGAGCTGAGCAGAGATACTCAATAGCAGAGAAGGCAGCCCTAGCAGTTGTTGTTACTGCAAGGAAATTGAGGCCATATTTCCAATCCCATCCTGTTATTGTGATGACTGATCAGCCTTTAAGACAAATTCTGCAGAAGCCAGAATGCTCCGGGAGACTCATCAAATGGGCAGTGGAGCTGGGAGAGTTTCAGATAGCATTCCAGCAAAGGTCGGCAATCCGAGCTCAAGCTTTGGCAGATTTCGTGGTCGAATGCACTTCTAATCAGGTGGAACCGAATTCTGAGGCAGAAACATGGACCCTTTATGTCGATGGATCATCTAATAGCAAGGGCTCAGGAACTGGAGCAGTATTAACTGGACCCGACAGCTTCCGGAGTGAACACGCTTTGAAGTTCAACTTCGAGGCCACAAACAACGTGGCCGAGTACGAAGCTCTCCTCCTGAGACTGCGTTTGGCGGCCGAGCTCAAAGTCAAACGCCTGCAGATTTACAGTAACTCACAGCTGGTAGTTAACCAAATCAATTCTATGTGTGAAGTCATTAATCCCATCCTAGCGAGGTATGTGGCCGCAGTCTCTTAGCTGAAAAACCGTTTCGAGAAATTCCAGCTTACAAAGATTTCGAGAGCAAAAAATGAGCATGCAGATTCTTTGTCAAAGTTAGCACCTAAGAACTCCGGGGAAGCAAAGTCTGTGTACATCGAGATACTGAATGAACCGAGCTTTCAGACGTCGGGGGTGATGGAGATCAGCACTGACCCAGATGCTCCGAGTTGGACAGACCCCATCCGGGAGTACCTCCTCAATGGTACCGTCCCAAGGGACAGACAAGAAGAGATGAAGTTGCGAAGAAAAGCCTCTCGGTACACCCTGATTGGCAACATTCTGTACAAGAGGTCCTACTCGTTACCTCTCCTCAGATGCCTGACACCATATGAAGCAGAGTATGCACTAAAAGAAGTACACGAGGGGGTATGCGGTAGTCACGTGGGAGCCCGGACTTTGGCACATAAGGTACTCCGGTAAGGGTACTATTGGCCTAACATGCAAGAAGATGCAAAGAAGTTCGTGCAGAGGTGCCAGAAATCCCAGTTCTTCGCCCATCTCACCCATCAGCCAACCAAAGAACTCACTAGCATGACTGCACCATGGCCCTTCGCTCAATGGGAAGTAGACCTTCTGGGCCCCTTTGTCAAAGCGGTAGGAGGAGCGACGCATTTAGTGGTCGCTGTTGATTACTTCACCAAGTGGGTAGAAGCCAAACCTCTATCTTGTCTGACTTCAAGAAGAATTGAGGATTTTCTCTTCAGCTCAGTCATCTGCAGATATGGAATACCGAACCAGATCATCGCTGACAACGGCCCCCAGTTCAATTGTAACTCCTTCAGGGACTTCTGCTTCAGCTACGGGATTAAGTTGGTGTTCACTTCCGTCTACCATCCCGAGGCCAATGGAATGGTTGAATCAGTCAACAAAGCCATCTTGGAAGGAATCAAGCCGAGGTTAGATTAGCTGAAAACAAAGTGGGTAGATGAACTCAACAACGTCCTGTGGGCTTATCGGACAACAAGCCGAACTGCCACAGGTATGTCCCTCACTTTGATTCTCTTTTCTATTACCTTATTTACAGTTACAGACTACCCTTTAAAGTAAATCCTAAAGTTAGTCTCCTGCAATTAGGCGAAACGCCCTACCACTTAGCCTTCGGCACCGAGGCAGTCATTCCTGTCGAAATTGGTGTCCCAAGCCTAAGAATCAGTCACTTTGAACCAGCTCACAATGAGCGTCTACTAAGGGAAAACCTTGATTTCCTAGACGAAGTCCGAGAGCAATCCCGACTTCGGACTCTAGCATACAAACAAAGAATAGCCAACCTTTACAATAAACGAGTCCGACCTCGAAACTTTAGAGTCGGTGACCTCGTCCTCAGAAAAGTTGGGCTCACAGGGTTCAAGACTCGATATGGCAAGCTAGCACCAAACTGGGAAGGCCCTTACATTGTAACTGAGGTCCCGCACCCCGGAGCATACATTCTCCAAGATGCCGAGGGCAAAAGGGTGCCTAGAGTTTGGAACGTCAACAATCTTAAAAAATTCCACCCTTGAAAGTTCCTTTCTTTATTCTGTGTTAGGCATCTTTTTGTAAATAACATTCCAGTACAATTGAAGACGACGTCAATTAAGGACGAAGTCAATTTCACTTGTTCAAACTTAATTGTAATAACAATGTTATTTTAACCTCTCCCATTTCGGATCACACCCAAAAGCAGTAAAAAAGAATCAAAGTCATTCCATTAACTTCTAATCGTTTACAAAGAATATCTCTAAAAAAAAAAAAAAAAAACCGAGGCCAAATCTAGTCAACGGTTTGGCTCGGGCTAGCCGCAGGCTGCTTGGGTTTATCAGCAGGCTGACTTGGCTGGTCAGCACCTTCAGCTGGCTTTTCAGCACCTTCGGTAACCTCCCCACCTTCGGTCCTCTCTTCCTCCACTACCACGAATTCAAAGCTGAACTTGGGAGGTAAGATGGTTTGACCTCTGCTATCCCTCTCCCACTTCAGCGTTATCTCTGGGTGGAAGTCAGCAGTACTGCTCTCTTCGTCCTCCTCCACCTCCCCTTCCTACTCTCTGAAGGTAATCTTCGTCACATCCACAGCAGGATATTGCAGCTTTACCTTCTTCCGGCAGTCAGAGAAGGCCACAATGGCAGTAGGAAGACGGTAGAGGTTGACGATATCCTCGAAGGTGCTGGATCTCAGGAACCCCTCCACATGCTCTTCGACTGAGTTGTGAACCTTGAGCTCCAACTCAGCCACTGTCCTCTCCGCATCCTCCAACTCAGCCACTGTCCTCTCCGCATCCTCCAACTCCTTCTCCCTCTTCTCGAGCTCGGCCTCGCATATCTTCCTTTTTTGGTACGAGATCTCCGAGTCCTTTTTGAAGGTAGCGTTTTCTTTTCGGAGTTCCTCCATCTCCGCTTTCAGCCTCGCCACCTCAGCCTCGGCCTCCTCGTTCTTCTTGACGAGCTCGGCGTTATCCTTCCTCATCTGGTTCCTCTCTTTCGTGATGCTCATTGGCCAAAGCATTCATGAGATTAATAGCCTGCACAGTGGAACCACCCCAACTCGTCAAACATTTAATAAAATCAGAATCCTTACACCCCAAGCGAGATGAAAGGACCATACCTCCAACGTTTGACGGACAACGCCAACTGAACCCCTGGCAGCCACCTCGTCCTTCGCACGCTGGCGGTCCACCACCGGGAAATAAGTGTTGATGAACCTCTTTGCTGTACTCCTCATCTCGGAGTCATAAAAGCTAGTCGTCTGCGCTCGGATGTACCCTTTCTCCCGAAGCACAGCAGCAAACTCAGCAGCTGAGGCTGACGAGGTCCCTTCCAGGTGGAGGGGTGAAGTCATGGGCTCTGGTACCTCCTCTACCTCCTCCATGGCCTCTTGTCGCTCTAGCCTCCTCCTCTTCGCCACAATGGGCCTCTCCTCAGCAACCGTCACCTCCCCTCCAACGTGGCCAGGCTGAGTGATGGCTAAGTTTCCACTTCGGTTTGAGGCAGTGAAACCTCCTCCACCCGCCTCTTGACCTCGCCTCTCTTCCCTCTTCCCTTCTTTGGAATTCCAGCCCCACCAGCTGCGTCCAAAAACTTGTTCATCTTTTCTGCAAAACAAAACAAGGTTAAACTCTGATCAGAATTCTTGAATTAAATCAACAATTAAAGTCACACACCTCCTCTTTGTGAACTTGGCCCATATATCTCAGCCGCGTCTAACATCCTCTGGCTCGTATACTCCATAACGTCCAGCAAACCCACCCCCCTCTTTCCAACTCCAGCACATCCTCTAACTCCCCTGGGGTCAGACTATACTCGTTGAGGTTTAACCCTTTCGCCTTCCAGCGACTCAAGTGCTCCACCTCGGCATCAGTCTTATCCCACTCCGTGTCATCCGCAAAAAAGAACTTATCTTTCCACCTTTTAATGAAAGATGGCCCAGCGCTAAACAGACCCCTCCTCTACTTATTCGCTACCTGGCCCGTAAAATAGTACCACCCCTTCTCCTTACCACTCCCAGCATTCAAGACGTAAAAGTACTTGAATACGCTAGCAGTGGGAAAGCTTACCCCCCGACTTCGGCTATATACTGCAAATGCCACCACTAACCTCATGGCATTGGGGGTGAGTTGCGTTAACCCCAGACCATACTCCAACAACAACCACACCAACAGGTCTGGGAGAGGGAACCGTAACCCAGCCGCCAAGTAATGGGAGTAGAGAGGCATCCAGTGGTCCCCCGGGGCCGAACACGCCCTCTCTCTACTCCCCGCCGACCTCACCAACACACGCCCAGGCACCCCATAGTTCTCAACCAAGTGGGCCAAACTACCCCTATTTTCCAAAGTTGTTTCGTACCCTGCCACCTCGCTAACAACTTCCTCCTCAGGGTTGAAACACGACTCTCTTCCATCCTCTCTCTCCAAAATGTTCGACGGCACCCTCAAATCCCTATTCTCTACCTCCTCAACCCTCCCCCTCACTCGGCTCTCACTAAGCGTCTCTTCAGAAGACATTCTCACAACAAAGAAAGGTAGAAAAAGGACACTCAGACACTCACAAATTACCTGGTCTCTGTAAAAACGGATGAACAATGTGGAGCGCAGGAACACCGGTGACTTTTCCAGACGCTAACAGCAAAATGGGTTGGATTTTTCTAACTTTGCATATATATATGTGACGGTAAAACATACTTTGACGGTCATGATTAACTTCCTTAAACCGTCGCGACTGTGCCGTTTCAAATTCGCCGTTTAATTTAACGCTGCGTCCCTTCGAATGTGACGGTTACTTTTCGCAGACGATATTTATTACTGCACGTTCTTCCATGACAACTGTCGTCTACTGCATTAACCAGCTTTAGTAGTCCATAAATAGGCCCATTTTAGGCCCATTGTAAACCCCTTAACATATACTTACACGAAAACTGTCAAGTCACAACTTCATCTCGGCTACGGCCACAGTGACTACGTGTCACCCATTTCATCTCGGCTACGGCCACAGTGACTACGTGTCACCCATTTCATCTCGGCTA